AATTGCCGTATCACATTGTCGCTGAATCGGTTATCGTTGAGATCCAAAATGTACTGGACGACCTATGGTACCATAAGAATCATGAAACCTCTATGTATCAAAGTTCTTACATAATTTCCATAAGGATCCTGTACCAATGTTAGGGCGTGATAAGTTATTTCGTTGACGAGCTGGACCCTTTGTGCCTCAGATGCGTGGTCGATGCATCTTTGGAGCACACAGCAACCATGACGGTGGGTGGCGACCTCCACGCAATGCGCCGCGAAAGCGTTGTATATGAACTGATTATCCTCGGGAACAAGCCTATTGAGACATTTTTGAATGACATGATTACCGTTGAGGTCCTTGATGAGCGTGACAACATGCAGTGAGAGCGCGCGGATGATTGCTATTATCTGGTTGTTGTATTGAGGATCAGCCTGAGAGTAATCGGTTGCAATGATTGACAGGATGAATAATAAAGGGATTAGTTGTAAGTTTCTTGCAAGCGTCACGAATAAAGAATGGTAGCCTGCCCATACGCGTACACGTAGGGAGGTTTAGAAGAGGCGCGATAATAGAAACTTACCTGACGCTGCGTAGAAAGGAAATCAATCATCTTCTGAACCGCTCTCGTTCCGTGCATATTAAGGGAGATTGTAACCAGATCTCCAGCGACAGATTCACAGATTAGGTTGCGCTGCTCATCGGTTGAATATTCCAGCAGTTTTTGGCAAAGGTAATTGCCAAAAGGATCTACAACGTGTGAGAAAGAAATGGCGATATTATGAAAGACAACCAACCAGTCATGAGTTCCGCGAAGTGATTGAAGGTCTCTCTGAAGATGATATCACGATGTTCCTGAACACCTTCTTCCAATTTCTTCTGTAAGAAGCGGCATCCGTGCTGATCTTTGCACATGTTAGGGATCTCCCCGATCAGATCCTCAAGTCGGCTCCCAGCATAACGATTGACTAATCATAGGTTAGTACGTGACATGTAAGTTCTAAAGATTCAACGAACATTCGCGATCGATTTCACCGCGCTTATGCTTCGGGTTATGGAAGCCGTTTAGTTTGCCCTCTCCGCCCAGGCCACGATTTCCGGATGACATGGGGCCGTAGCGCGTGGGATGGTTAGCTCCGTGATATAGCCCTCGACTGTTCTGGTCGTATCCGTTACCGAAATTTCCAAGGATTCGTGGGTCACCGCCAATACCAATGCCGTACTGCCCATCGACCCCAAACTAGCGGACGATATGTCAGTTTATGTACACGAATGGAACGAAAACAGACGTACGCGGTCGTCGATGCCATGCTGTAAACCATAGCCACTAGGACTGTCGAAATTAGATCCGCTATATCGGTTGTTCATTTCACCAGACACCCCGAGGCCGACGTATGAATTTATTCCGGCTTGATCCTGCCCCATCTGAAGACCTTGTGCTGAAGGCTTGGACCCGACGTTGTGCGCTACCGTCCCTAAGGGCGTTGCGGGAACAGAGCGAGTGTTGATGTTACTCATCACTCCTTCTCCGACAAAGCCCCTGGGAGAAGATCGTCGAGATGCCACAGGAGAATGGGACTGAACCATGGGCGTAGATGATGTCGAGTTCAACTTTCCAGCGAGATCAGGAGTTCCTGCCAATGTTTGGGGCGTCTGAGTGAATGACCTCCCTACACGGGCAGAGCTGTCCGGACGAGAAGAAAAGGAGGGCCACTCCGAAGACTTTTGTGCTTCCATGTGCCGATTCATATAATTAGGGCGAGGAGGTGTTTGAGAAAGAGGGGCAAGATCCAATGCAGCAGAAGACGCAGATAACTGAGAATAACTAAGCCCTCCGACTCGTTGGTAGAAGAGAAATCACATACCTTGGAATAGGGATCTCTAGGTGCTTCATCAGAGGTGGGCAAGAATTTGATAGCGCCTAGAACCCGAGTATTAGATGGGAGGTAGAAGATTGATTCGACACGTACTGTTGATATCCTTGTCAAGTTCATCATCGAGCATGAGTCCCGCATTATAGCCACCAGGATATTCAATATCTCCAAAGCGTGGATTGGTTCTGGATTGTCGCAATTGTGGCTTGTGGTGTCCGATGCCGTCGTGAACTGTCAAACCCTGTATACCTTGTACAAGGATATCGTCGGCATCTCGACTATCAGAAGAGCCCCGGCGACTGGCAGGCATGGATTTGGCGCCTGCATAGCCCTGGGAAGCATGCACGGGAGGAACGCGATCAACGTTTTCAGAAATCTGTCCATAATTCGCAGAGTTGCGTTTTTCGCTTCCGATAGGTTGGGCATTAGACACGAATGTGACACCATTATTCAATGCGCGGTAAGCGGGGCCCAAGTGGGACATTGGCGGGTCGAACAAGGGATTGCTATCATTGAGGTCGTTTGCGAGAATGCCGGCTACTCGTGGAGGAGTGGTAGGAGCGGAAACAGCAATGTGACGCATGTCACCAGTAGCTGGAATATTAAGTAAATCACTTTCTTCTTGAGCGTGTTGCTGTTCTAAGAGGCGCATTTGTTCTTCAAATTTATGCCGGTGGATTTGGCGAAGTCTTTCATGCTCGATACGCTTTTGTTGGACAAGAGACTTCGGATTTGGAATCAATCATGGGCTTGGTAGAGACATTGAGGAAAACATACCACTGCGTCGCCTCCTGGGCGGGAAGACTATAAAATATGAGAAAAATATGTTAAAATTAATCTCAAAGTCACTGACCGAGTCTGCGAGATCAAGAAAAGCTGGTGGGAGACTCCGCTCATCAGCTTGGGTGGACTCAATAGGATTATTTTCGTTAATGGGCGCCATTTGGACTTAAAATTTTGATGAAGAGCTTCAAGGTTGAGTAAGATGATCTAGAATGGTAGTAGAATGCGTGAAATGGGTTCCTAATGCACACAGATGATCCTATTTGACGGTTGTTAGCGCATAATTTGCAGTCGGGCGACCAATCCTATAGAACAGAAGATAGAAAGCTTCAAGGATACCTACCGTCAAATCTGGAATCGTTGAGCGGTCAAAGCGACTGATGTTACAATGCGACGCAGTCTGTTATGTCATGGATAATATCAGCACCATGTAAAAGGGATTATAAAAGGAATTTAAAACGAGTTGGCACTCTGAACGAATCAAGAACTGAACATACGTTGAAGGCCGAGTTTGGTTGGGGGCAAAGTTGTTTGTGAAGTGGCCGGTGACTTTGAGCACTTCAAATGGAAATTACCGAAAAAAAATCGACTATACTGAGGGTCTTCTTGAGGTTTGAATGCTTATAGAATATTACGACTTGACGTTTAGATTCGAAAGTTCGGGTAGATTCCACTAACTACGATGGACAATTTCTTATAGACAGTAGTTTTTAAGGAAGGGCGGATCGCAGCATGAGACGATTCTCTCAGCGACAGGGCCGGTAGTCACTTGAATGCCATCAATGTCCCGAACTCTGCGGCAAAGGCGGCCTGGCAAGTGATGAGCCAGACCAGAATACACCCGCTCAATTTTACAGGTTTAGTGCCACTCTGTTCTGCGTGATAGGGACTAGTTGCAAACACCCGTTAAAAGTTTCATTCACCTCCGTCTGCACCCTTTTTTCACCATTCAGAGCCCCCGTTTTTCCGCAAGCACTCGTGATAACCGAATTTCTCAGCAGGGTACCAACGCGGCCATCACTGTTGTCTGCTTCGTGTAAAATGTATGCCCAGTTTTGTATGCGGGCTCGGAAAGGTTACCCGGGTCGCGAGGTCAGGTCTTCGTTACTGCCACCTGGCTGGGCACATGGCTGACCTTACCCCTCCCCTCAGAGTCTGCTGGTACGGTTATCCATTATTCTGGTCATGGTCTGCCTCATCCGCCGCGTGACTGAAATCGTTCGATTGACTCTAAAAACCATTGTCTCGCTGACGGCGTCAAAGGTTAATTGTATAGAGTTTCAATTCCGCACCCTGGCAATTCAGAGGAGGTGGAACCTTCTGACAATTTCGACTTTGTCAGCGACTGCCCACACCCACAATAGTCAAAACTCGGGCCAGTGGTAAACGAAATTTCTATGCAGAAAAGTCGTGAACAGTGGCCATAGAATTGCCCTCGCAACGAGTCCCGATGTGAAGACTTTGCAGCTTGAAGGAAATTTTCCAAAGGGTTGCCTCGGCAAATCCCTAGTTTGTGCGTGTGATGAACGGGAAGGTGTGCGACTAGAAGTTCAATTATATGCGTTCGTGCGTGCACTTCTTCTCTCCTAGTTTGCTTAGTGGGCATGTAGAAGCGAGCCGAGTCCGCCCGTTTTAATGCACTTGATTAAATAGATGTAAGAAAGACGATCACGCGACGAACAACTTCAACGTTGACACTGTTTCCAATAAGACGATACTTGGATTTGCGAGAGGTGTTCTGCGGCCAGACGAATGGTCGTGTGGGTCGCGAGAGATAAAATAAGCGCAAAAGCTCCTCTGGCGAAAAGTACCGTAGTACAAGCTTATGCAAGGTAGACACTGCATCATCGTCTCCAGCTTCTTGGCGAGCCGCAAACTCGTTGAATGCCTCAGTCGTCTACAGAAGACACCAGTAGTCATTAGTTGAATGTCACATTCTGTAACGGATACTCACGTCCATTTCTTCGTTTATCTGTAGGATAGACCCGGACCCTTCAATCAAATGGGTGTAGCCTACGTCGTCCTTGTCAATGATTGGTCACCCACAGCAAATAAAACGCCAACCTCTCGTAAAACAACATGAATTAGACGAAGATGGTAATACAATGTCAAATACCTTCCCCCACCGAACTAAAATTCGTTCTGGCACCAAGGTAGATTGGTCAGGGAGAGGATCCAGATAGTCGGCAATTTTCTTAATTCCTTCGGATTCAACAGCACCAAGATCGCCAGGTATAGTCGTTAGTACCCTTGATGAAGAGCCGGATACGCCCTCGGCCTTTCGGGCTGCAAGGTAGTACCGAAGTCGGGCATTGGGGATACCATATTGCTTCGGGCTTAGCAGAAACTCTGAAACTTGATACCCTAGAGTCTGGAGCAGGCTCGCCAGGAGTGTTCTAGTTTCTGATGTCTGTGCCTAGAGTGAGCGGATGTGCATTCAATGAAGTGAATGAATACCTCAAATCCCGCTACATTTTCAACAATTATATATTCTGGGTGTTTGTTCCGCGTTGCCAGGGTCACCAGAACTTCGTTGATCAGATGGAGGAAACTCCTGGCCCTGGGATCATCCACTCCTTTCTGGAGACCTAGTACCGTGTATGGTTGACAGGCTGGTGATGCCAACCATATATCAGCGTCAAAGACCTCTATCTCATCTGCAGTTAGCTGTGAGATGTCTTTCTAATGATGAATTGCATCCAGATCGAGCGTGCCCATCAAGCGGCGTAACTGCAGGTTATTGGGATGAAATAGCGATTGTAATGGGATAAGCTGACCCTTCTGGCAATACCCGACCCGTGATTAGCTTCATATACAGCAATGGCCAAAGGATCCCAATCAAAGGCGGCAATGACGCGAGCATCTGGTGCAGCACATTTTAGAGCGTCATGTAGACCACCTGCCAATGATATATCAGTTTGTTTGAATCTCATGAAATAATTGCTTTACCGATGCCACTGTAAAATTCGACGGCCTTGAGTGGCATTGCGTCGTTGCACCTTTTTGGAAAACGCGACACCTTGCTTGCTTTGTCTTCATTAAGCCACTCCGTCCTGAGCGCCGTCGCGCAGAAATACGCTCAATATGGAGCAAATTACACCTCCAAGGAGACAGAGGGATTTATTAAACAAGTAAACATACCCCCCTTTATCTTGTTTATCCTTTACTCATTTTGGAATGTTGAACCGTTTGCAGTGATCAACAGGCTGACCAAGAAACTCTGAGAAAATATCACGACGACTCCTCATATGCATTGTACGTCGTACTGAACAGAGACGATGTTCATCTCGCTGATAAATCCACGCTCAGCACCAACCATGAGACACCGGATTCAGAGTTAACGCAACGGTACGATGCGAAAGTTTAGCGATAAATGATATAGCATACTGATCAAAACTCTAGTTCGCAACTTCGAACACCACGGTAAATTCTTGAACGCCAAACGCAGAGAATACATACTGAACAGTAGTCGGTCTAGGCAAACTGCATTTGGCAAAACTGAACGGTGCGTTTCACTCCTTCATTAGAGCTATTGTTTACTAATCTCACCCAAGTGATGCCATTCTGATTAACGCTGTAATCCCTTCCACCCCTCAAACGACCATAGAATCAAACGACGGCTCGCAGCTTAGAACGCCGTTTGCAAATGTGTAAGCATACTCCAATATGACCTTGTATGTTACTTATGTTTCATAGGACATCATGGAATGGTGTCTCGCCGGGCATTGTCTCAACGCCAACACCAGACTTCTACTCTCTGAATCGAGAGCCAAGAATGTCGGCTGTACCATCCGGGGCGACCTTCTATCCCACCCCTCAGTTTCCTGTCGAATTGTCTACCTTTAGAAATGTTAGACAAGGCATGGAAAGTCCTCTCAAATCGAAAGGTCCGCGCGCACAACCCGTTCAAGAGGAAGTTCAGAGTTCCGATGAAACCCAAGATCGAGAAATTACTCCTGAAAGTGGAATCAGACCTCTAATATTAGAGCCTTCCCATTCTACCGAAGAAATAATGCCAGAAGATGCAGCCATTGACGAGGATTCTACCGACCCTCCAGTACGATTGGACAATATATCTCCTCCCGTAACTGGTGAAGTGATCAGTGATGCACCCCTGGATGGATCCCAAGCCAATCACCATAGCAGTATTCAACACTCTTTACCTATTCAGAACACTCCTTCCTCAAGGAAAATGGTGATACCGGAATCTATTCAAAAGTGGCTGCAGGGTCCTTCCTCTTCGTTTGACGCTTCAACGACCATCCATCGCAAGGACATCCAAGAGATAACTAGGAAGCGACTGGAACGCTTCGACCCCCAAAATACCCGTTCTTCACCTCTTGTTCCTCAAGACCATGAGGCTTATGGGCGCATTCTTCAACCTCCATCCAAAGACGATCAAGATACTGAAGTCACCTCTGTCCTTGATTGGCCTGATGACGCGTACCCGTGGTCTCTGCTCTCCTCCAAAGAAAATTTTGTTGACATGAGGAGACAGCAAGACCTCCAGTTAATTGCCAAGTACCTAGAGGAAAGTAGCGAAAGCGACGACGATGAAGACAGTAAACCAAATGGAGTTACCGATCCAGCAGACGCCTTAGCAGCTCTTCGTGCAAAGAAAGCCACCAGGCAACTGATTCAGAGGAAAGCAGTCAAGGCTGCTGTAGCGAAGGCCACCAAAGGGAAAGTCACTGCTTCAAAAGCGTCTTCCAGCGAGTTACGGAAGGCCAAAGATGACATTAAAGATGTCATGGAGCTTGACAAGAATGGTGAAGACAGTGACGAGGTTGCTTGCATTTGTAATGGAGCAGATGATGGTAGACCTATGGTCCAATGCGATCGTTGCCATACATGGCACCATGTCGACTGTGTGACCAAAGAAGGCGAAGAGCTACCAGAGGAATGGTTTTGTGGAAAATGTTTGGCATCTTCAAGCTCAGGGAAGGCGATTGATATCGATGAATCATCCCTCAGCACTCACGAACGCCCAGACATTGGGACCGAGAATAATCCTGCATTTATGCACGTATACTTATCTAAGGACACTAATAGTCTATCACCCGGAGTTCCTCAATTTTTCATCTCTCGCGATGGTCATATATTTGGAAACCGCACCCCACCGTCTTCAAAGAGTTCACTTCCAAGATACCCCTATCCTTACAGCATGTGGCCTGATAGCAGCACATCCCCGCGTCCATCTACCGATCATTTCGATGATCCAATGACAGCCATAGCAGCCACGCCTTTCGGAACGTCGAGTCTCGGCTCCGCGTATGGATCATCAGAAGATCCATTCTTCGATAATCTTCATTCGACCCCAAGTCGCAGCCTTGGCTTGAGATTCGCCCCTCCCTTTTCAGCGAGTCCAAAGAAGGATCGCCCGTGGACGAACTATACGGGCGCCTTTGCAACCCCAAGTGGCGCGTCTGGTTCTCATCCCACCTTCATTTTCAACCAGAGCGTCCCTATTGTGCAAACTGACCCTTTATTTATACATTATGAGCATGACGCACCTAAGCAAACGGCCCATCATCACAATGGATACTCCCGAAGCAAGAAAAGGGGGAAAATGAAGGACAAAGACAGTGTCGATATGGAAAAGATGGAAGACAGAGACTCAGTCTTGCCGGATGATGTACCATCTTCTGATTCAACCAATGTAAACCACGAGACGGACCTTTCTTCTTCCAAACTATCCTAAGATCTTTACCTACTCCATGTTTCCCGTTCCATTCTCGGCTTACGAATTCATTTAACCTTTATGTAGCCCGTTATCTCCATTTAATCTGGTATATTGAAATTTGGTCTATCTCTACGATAATTATGGTTTATTACATTCTACGTTGTCGTCCACTACTTGCGGCTCCACTAAGTCGGTATTCACGCAGCTTCTTGGTCCCATCTTTAACCTTGGTTTCCCACCCTGGGAGCGGTATAACAAGCGCAGTGCAGTTGTCATCTGCGCCCAGTTCCTCGGCAAAGTTTACAAGCTCCTTTGCACTAGCAGCTGGGCCCATATTGGACTTAGTTCGGACTAGGTCGGATATCTCGTTATCGGAAAGGATGCCAGAGACACCATCAGAAACGAGAATCATTGAAGAGGCAGCGACGCCCCTCACTACCTGTGTCCGGACCTCTGGTTCTGGAGTTACTCCAAATGGTTTAAACCGTAGATCTCCAAGACTAGGTAGGGAATGAGTCGATTAGGCTTTGGGTTCAAAAGATTACCGACCATCGCGTATTTGCTAACTTTCCCATCCAGCGCGTATCACCAAATGAGTCCATCACCATACCACCACCGACTCTTCGTAGTCGTGACGATTCTCCACGCTCGTCTGCGTGATGATTGGCGGTCATGGGCATAACTCTTCCATCTGTCATGCATAACAACCCACGCGTATCCCTAGGATTGAAATGAGAGTTTAAAGGTGTTGAGTAGATAATTCAGCGTACCCGCAATGAGCAACAGTAACGGAGAGCCAATTGGCAGAGTAAAAAGGTGATTCTGGGATGTCGAGCGAATGGATGATCGCAACAGACGAGGTAGCGCCACAGTCGCTGGATTCTGGCAACTGTCCAATCTCGATATCAGCCTGTATAGCGCATATTTAGACGAAGATTGGTCTCAAGCAGGTTGGTAGATACCTGAAGGAAAGCTAATGTTGCATATGCCTCGAGAGTAAGATTCATCTCGGTATGTTCATCCAAATCCCAGCCAGTCTGAGCCCAAGGCTCTAGAGCTCCTCCTCGAAAACGACGGAAGTATCCACCGTAGCCTTTTATGACATCAACTACATGGGGTACAGCCCTGGTATCAACACTTTC